GGGATAGCCCCAAACTCACTGAGATCTGCCTGCCTCTGCCTCCCAGTGCTGGGATTAAAGGCATGCGCCACCATGCCTGGCCAATTATTATATATAAAATATACATTATTATGCCAGGTATGGTGGTTCAAGCCTTTAATCTCAGCACTTGGGAGGCTGAGGCAGAGGCTGATCTCTGTGAGTTCGAGGCCAGCCTGGTCTCCGTGGCAAATCCAAGCAGCTGGGGCTATAGGGAGACTCTGTCTCAAAAAAAAAAAAAAAAAACACACACACACACACACACACACACACACACACACACACACATTATTATATATGTGCCTGCGAGCAGAGGAAGAGACAAGGTGCCCCAAACCAACTAAATCCAGTAACTCTGACAAACACTAATCAGACTACCAATTTGGCTGTCTTCCTACAACCAAACTAAATGCCTGTGTGCACACTTTTAATCCCAATACTCAAAAGGCAGAGGAACTGTGAGTTCCAGGCCAGCCCAGTCTACATAGCAAGTTCCAGTCCAGCCAGGGATACATATAGTGAAACCCTGTCTCAAAAAGAGAAAGCTCACTCATGAAAGTTGTGCTCTGACATCCATGCATATGCAAACACACAAACAAAAAGAAAAAAATAAGTCAGGTGTGGCAGCGAACACCTTTAATCCCATCACTCCGGAGGCGGAGGGCAGGCAGATCTCTGTAAGTTCTCTGTAACTTCCAGGCCAGCCTGATCTACAGAGTGAGTCCCAGGCCAGCTGGGGCTACAGGGAGACCCTGTCTCAAAAAGAACGTTTAAAAAAATTAAAAAAATCCATGAGCTAGACTCATATCTGTATTCCCAGCACTAGGGAGGCTGACACAGCAGGATCACTGTGAGTTTAAAGCCAGCCAGAGCTACATATTGGAATTCAATCTTAAAAAAATGAAAATGACAAAATGAGAACAAATGAATAGGGGGAATCAAGCCAGACCTGGTGGCTAATGTGATTTAGCTACTCAGGAAGCTGAGGCAGGAGGCTCAAGCACCCAAGGGCAGCCTGAGCTACACAGTAAGTTCAAGACCAGACTGGGAAGACTTAGCAAGACCCTGTGATAAAATGAAAAAAGGGCTAGGGAGATGACTCAGTTGGAAAAGTGCTT